CGTGGAAAAGATATTTCTTGGTTTCAGTGAGAAAAAGAAGAAAGAATGGAAGATAGAATTAAGAGAGAAAATCAGATGAAGGTGGGAAGAACAAATACTACACTTTGATCCCAGCCACAAGGCCAAGAACGGATATTTTTTTCTTGCTGTCACATGCTGGCAGGATGTGATACAAATTAATCGCCAAAAATTCAGTTACCATAAATAAATTAATGATGTATTATTTCTAAATTATTATTATTATTATTATTATTATTATTATTATTATAAGAAATCTTCGTAAAACGGGAATTTGTTATTTATTATTTTCCTTGGCTTTATTTGCATGAACTACTTTCACAACACAATTTTCTAGCTACCGCTGGTGCTATATATTTTTTAAGGTCGAAAATATCCAACAGTTGTGCAGAAGTATTATTAGTAGTAGCAGTAGCAGTAGCAGTAGTAGCAGTAGCAGTAGTAGTAGTAGCAGTATTTCAGTTTTCACACGAAATAAAATCGCCCTGGGTATGACAATAAACTACATCCGCGTCCTGGATAAGACGATAAACTACACCCAACAGCAAGGCCTCTGATCAGGAGGTTTTGAGAAGCGTGGAATCACATCTTAATTGCTGGAGTTCCCAGGTCCACCCTAACCCGGGGTGGTAGCTCGTATTAGGCTCCCAGCTATGGGCAAATAGTTAACCCCTAAAATGGAGTCAAAACACTATGAAAATGTAAAAATAGATTTTTAATACAAGAAACACTTTTTTTTTTATAAAAAATTACTACCAACAATACATATTTGAAAAAAATATTACCAGCAATACATTTTTGGAAAAAAAATATTACCAGCAATATATTTTTGGCAAAAAAAAAATATTACTAGCAATAAAAATTTTGTCGGCATAAAAAAATAGATTGAGGTTGATATGCCGTAAAACAAACCAAACCAAATGAAACCAAAAAAGAAACGGTTTTCAGCATCGGATTTTAACAATAACTTTTTGAACCGTTTTCTTCATAAAGACTTACAAATATTTAAGAAAAAATATTATTATAAAAGAATAGCCGATTTTCTGTTTCCCACATTGTCAGGGTGTGACGTTGGATCCTATGTGTGTGCAGAACGTCAGTAATTTACATGTACCTACGCCATTTAATGCACACACGCGCACATACATACACAATTTGACTGAGTTTCTAATAAGACATTTGAATCATACATTCCCCCTTCTACATAGAATCTGGTCAAACTCTACCCGGGGCTGAGCAATAAAATCTTTAATTTGGGGACAAAACATAAATTTTAAACAATAAAAAAATTTGATAACTTTAAGATTTTAATTAAATTTTGAAAATTATTGGATAGAATCATTTTTAAAAGTTTTTGTTTTTAAATTTTGTAGAAATATTTTTAGGTCTGTCATTGAATAACAATGAAATAGACATTTGTGTCCCGAGAGTAATTTTCCTTTTTTGTCTGGCAATACCCCCTGGGTAACTGGAAGAGTATAAACCGAATTATGGGACCTCTTTGAAGTCCCCTTTTATGACTCCGTCTGTATTTCAACTGAGTTTATTTTGTAATAGAAGTATTTTAAAAGAACAAACAATTTACATTAGAAATTTGGTTATTTAAAAAGAAAAAAATCATTTCACGGCAAGAAAGGCGATAATGCCACTAAGACGCAAAGGGTTACTGGGAGTAAACGAGAATGAAAAGAATTTAGAAGAACCGGAAACCGAGTCCTAAACAGGGAACAAGGGATAGATCTCTTGTTCAAATGGAGGAGTGTGAACCGGACGGTAGGCGAATGTGAAGCGACGGGTACTGAATTATATGGGTGAATCATAAATAATTTCTATTTTTGGGAATTATATGTAATGATGAATGTATTATTTTAACTAACGTTTCCTTAAATATATAATAACAGATGATGAACAGAATAAATTTCTATAACCGGTTCAAAAAATGGTCTTTATGGAAGAAAGGTAAAATTATGAGTATAGAGGGATCGTTTAGACTTCGTAAATACAGTGAAACATTAAATGCACATTTATACAATCATCAGCTGCAACATGTCCATGAAAGTTTGGTCAGAAATAGGCAAAAGTTCTTGAACATAACAAAAATAACAGAGTAAAAATTTGGAACTCTCTTCCGTTCTCCTCTTCCCAAGCAGAAATATTTTCCTGGCTTTGCATCGATCAATAATTACTTTTTTTTATCACATTTCAAAAATGCTTTCCTGGAAACATTTTCTCTTACAAAAAAGAAACAGATTCAAGAATACATTGAAACATTCTGGCGTCAAAAGCTGCAGAATTTTCCTCAAAGTGTATCAAATGGCTGCCTGATGATTGTTAACACGTAAATATCACCAAATATACACAAAAGTATATAGGCTTTTGATTCCAGAGATGTCGTTTCCTTAGACTGATTGCCAACCAAGCAAGGCAAGTGAAACCAGTATGTCGTCTATATTAATCTATGTATTTATGACATTTTTAAGGGTCGACGACATCATTTTGCACACTGATAACTTTTACGCTACCTGTACATACAAGCCATGAATTTACTTGCTTTTAAAAACAGAAGATGAGACGAGATGAGATAAGAGTGATGGGATAAAAAAACAAAATCTGTCCTCAAGACAATGTATCATGTTAGATATTCTAAAATAAACAGAATCTTTCTTCTTTTTTTAGACGTTTATTCTGACTTGAGATATTTTTACGCCCTTCCATTCAGCCATCTTTTTTCATTCGTTTTAATCGCACCTTTTTTTGTCGCTTGTGTTTTTTTTATTGTTATTTTTATTTTTTACTTGTTATAGCAGATTATCGATAATCAACTGTGGACGCATGGTTTATGTTAATCCTTTATTAAAATTATAACTACAAGTAAATATTATTATGACGACAGCTGTCATTAATCCCACATTGTCCAATATTATTAAATACATTTATTCAAAGTGTTAACTACCGTAACGAATATTTTTATTATATTAGTATTATTATTAGCCGTATTAATCATTCAATTATCACACACACACAAACACATACACACACAAACACACACACACACACACACACACACACACACATATATATATATATATATATATATATATATATATATATGAAAAATATAGTTTTAAGATATGATATATTTATCTGCTCTATATCAGGAATAAACCGTATGCAATCATAACAGTTGACATTGAGTTCAAAATCCAGCGGTTTCATGCTTAAACACAATCGCCAAGCCATAATTGTTGTGTTTTTTACTCGACTGTTTATATAATGATGCATTATGAGTAGATCTATTGAATCATTCTAATGGTTATTGGGCGGGCGGTAACATAGATCGTTTGGTTGCCAAGGTCGAATTTACTGCTTATAAACTTCAATCATCTAATTCAATCAAAATTCAAATTCTTCGGGTCTCTACAGACCAGTGTCAATGACGTTTTTATATATATATATATATATATATATATATATATATATATATATATATATGATTAAAATCGACTTGTGACAGTTCAAATCTTATATACTTATTTTTCTGCCATAAAAAAAGCAAAAAAAGGGGAATTATGTGGAGAAACAAGCAAGGAATTACGTCTTCAGTTTAATAACCATAAAAAAACATCGAAGACAACAGCAACAATTTTCATGTAACTGCAAACTTCAGTCAACCTTTCCATAGCAATAATCACATCAGATACGCGTTTTTAGCACCTCAGCAAGAATATCGCTGATCCGAGTTGCAATATGTTTTCACAATAAAATCAATTATTTAAAGAGTAAAACATGGATTTGGATTTACTCAGAAAGTATAATTTCCAAAGGGAGAACTCTAACCAATACCAACAACATTTCTCCGTTAGTGTGGGTCACACTTTGTTTATTCCACGCCTCGTTGAAAAAGCACCCAGGTGTGTCCGAAAATTCCGACATATTTTTTTTTCTTCGTGATTCAAAAGGCTAATAATAAATATCATCAACCTCATTAGCAAAATTTTATCATTTTCTTGTCCTTCTATTGATCAAATTTCATTAATCGGTCTATTAAATCTATCTCCCTCTCACTATTTCTCTCTCTCTTTCTCTCTCTCTTTTCTCTCTCTCTCTCTCTGTCTCTCTCTCTCTCTCTCTCTCTCTCTCTCTCTATATATATATATATATATATATATATATATATATATATATAATTTATATTTATAATAAATCTACATTTCATGTTTCATACACAACTCAGTCGCAATTCATAACTTTTTGTACCTGATGATTGTCAAAGTCATGAGACTCTGTAAACATAGGTATATGTGTAATTATATATATATATATATATATATATATATATATATATATATATATATAATGAGCGCGTGGTTAAGTACTCAGGACGTTTATCACCTAGCGATATACACACAAAAAAATATATATATATATATATATATATATATATATATATATATATAAAAAAATGTCTAATTTTCGTATAATATATATATATATATATATATATATATATATATATATATATATATACATATATTATACGAAAATTACAAATGTATAATGTGTGTGTATGTGTGCGTATATGTGCGTATGTGTGCGTGTGTCTAATATACGTATCAAGTAATTACGACTTGTTCTTATCTGATCTCCAATTACAGGGATGTAAACACGGATTATACAAAAAGATTGTAATCGCAGCGACCACCTGCTGGATTAGACATAAGAGGAGTGATGCACGCCACAAAGGCGACAAAAGCCAATCATATCCCGGGACTGAGATTGGCCCGATGAAATAAAAGACTTGGAAATAATTAGCGAAAAATAAAAATAAAATATATAATCAATCCTCCACGGCCATCTTCTATTTTTTTCATGACTACTTTTATTAGTTTGAGTCAGAAGTAATTTTCGATTTTGTGAACCAGTTGTAATGACAAATATATCATCTTAACTACTGATCATACGTAGAAGTTAAATGGTGCACATTAAAAAATAGATAGATAGATAGATAGATAGATAGATAGATAGATAGGTGTGAAAATACTGATAGATACATATGAATTCTGATAGATAGCAATAAACAGAATGAGATAGATAGATAGATAGATAGCAAGCAAGCAAGCAATAAACAGAAATTCATAGATAAATAGATAGATAGATTAGGTTTTTGTGAACCAATTGTAATGGCAAATAGATAATCTTAAGTACTGATCATACATCGGAATTAAGAATAATTTTTGAGTTCACTAATTTACCTGATTGTTTTCATGGCAGCGTACACAGCGTCGATGGGAGAAAATTCTCTGATGAAAACTAGATTCAAGCGTTTATCAAAAAAGTTAAGCAACGTCAAGCCTGGTCAGTACCTAGATGGGTGACCGCTTGGGAATACAAGGTGCTGTAAACTTAGTTGTGAAAGTGATGTAATGGATAATGGCTCGGAATTGTTAATCGGAAATCCGAGCTCCAATTCAAGTTGGGTTCGTTATACTCACGTACGTGCGAATACCCTTGTTAAACGTATGAATCCACCTCTTCTCTGACTAGCAATGGGTTAATAAATAAGTCTTGTATCAATAAATCATTATTATCTGAAAAAAATTCTTACAATGTAGAAATATTTTCTGGCTTTAAATAACCTGCAATGGGTGTGATAAGCCGTAGAAAATGAATGAATGAATCAATCAGTGTCAGGTGGAGTTCGCATTCGCTATCACTTGGCTTCTTAAGCAGCGCTATGGAAATGGATCTACTTAGGTCTTCCGGCATATCACCAGTGTCGCATATTTGTTTTTCATGTTGTCAATGTGGAAATCTTATAAAGCTACCAGTATCTCATTTATAATTCCATCTGGTCCTGCTGTGCATTCCTGTACAATTTGGCCAGTGAGGATTTCAGTTTAGACTTCATTACTTCTAGTCTTTCCCTATTTGTATGGGTTTTCCGATTTCGTAATTTTGTCTTTCTAGATTAGCAGTGTTCCGTCCTTGGATTTTATACAAGTTACGAAACATAATGGGAATAAATTGACTCCACCTCTCTCTCTCTCTCTCTCTCCCCCCCCTCTCTCTCTCTCTCTCTCTCTCTCGTTTCTGCCTGTCTTCATTCCCATCTTTTCTTCTTCTTCTTCTTCTTCTTCTTCTTCTTCTTCTTCTTCTTCTTCTTCTTCTTCTTCTTCACTAATTGCCTTTTTCACTTTTTTTCATTTCTATGAATTTCTGATTTTAAGTCAGAACTTTTCCGGCAACTTTCTTCATTTTCAATGCGTTAATTTAACGATTCCTATTTTGTACATTCTCGGGGGCTTAGAATTTTGTATTCGAAGAATTGGAAAAGATACAAAGTGCAGTCGAAATAACGATACAGACTTAGAAGAAGTAATAAAAGAAATAAAGAAATACATTGGACGCATGTAAATCGGTGACCAAAGTAGAATTGAATAGATAGATAGATAGATAGATAGATAGATAGATAGATAGATAGGAACAGACTGAGATAGTGTTGTGGTCTATTTAGAGACCAGAGCGAAATACACGGAAGACGAAGGTAGGTTGAAAAAGTATATTGAAGATATATACAAAACAATAGTGTTAGTAATAAGTAGATTAGCACTGCGTCTACTACTCCACTTCACTTCTACTCCACTTCACCTATCCGACTCTCGCAGTTTGTATTTATGAGAGGAGAAAGAGTTCATTCTACTGTAAGAGGGTTTGCCAAAACAGATAGAGAGATAGAGAGATAGATTAGAATTAGATAAGGACAGACATACATAGGGAAATATATTGACATAGATAGATAGATAGATAGATAGATAGATAGAGAGAGAGAGAGATTAGAATTAGATGAGGACAGGCATACATAGGAAAATATATTGACATAGATAGATAGACAGAGAGAGAGAGAGAGAAAGAGAGAGAGAGAGAGATTAGAATTAAATAAGGACAGGCATACATACAGAAATATATTGACATAGATAGATAGATAGATAGATAGAGAGATAGAGAGAGACAGACAGACAGAGAGACAGAGACAGAGAGAGACAGAGAGAGATTAGAATTAAATAAGGACATACATACATACATACATACAGAAATATATTGACATAGATAGATAGATAGATAGATAGATAGATAGATAGATAGATAGATAGATAGAGGCAGACTGTGCGAGACAGATGTGTATCGACTCAACAAATTGAGAAGCGTATTGACAGACTGAATTATCTAAATCTGCAGACATTAAGACTGAAATGAAGAGGCCGAACTCGATGGAAAATAAAGAGTGACAAATAAAACACGATATCTTGTCAAACAAACAAAAAAGAACGGAAAACGGATTACATCTGTAGAAAGTCAAATGATTCGCTTAATGTAACTCTCTTGCGTCAAATTCCGCAAACAAATAAAAAGAAAAAGCGATTATCAAAACAAAAAAGACAAAAGAATCCTCGAAAAGCTGCCCCAGAGAATAAGAGCCTATAAGCTGAGTTAGTCGGATTATGGTAGAGTGTTTGTGACATCTAAATTTAAAGAGGGTAATAACTTGTCTCTGTCGTGTCATAGCGCCAAAAAAGTGGGTCACGTATTTCCGTATTGACCATCAGCTGAAAACTGGTTATGACAGAACAAGAAGACGGGTTAAGGAAAATGCCGTCTTCGGTGCCAACAGGTAAGTAGGACATTTTAAATATGTGGGAAGTGTTTTAACAGAGGACCTAAAATGTAAAATAGAAAGGTGCATTAGAATACAAAAAAAAGGCCTTCCAAGAAATAAACAGGAAAATTTAGTTACAAACAGTTTGCTGAAAATCTATGTAGCATCAGTCCTTTTATATGACGATGAATGCTGGACAATCTCTTCACAGATGAAGAAGAGACGAAACAACATACATGTGGTTCTACCGAAGGATGACGAAAATACCATGGACGGAACATTTGAATAACAGCAAAGTTTTAAGGAAAATGGAAGAAAAAATGACGCTTATATTTAGAATAAAAAAGTTCTAAACCGTTATGCAATATCAGGCCTTTTATTTGGCAGTGAACGTTAAAAAATCTTTTTAGAGATGAAGAAGAGACTTGAGGCAACAGATATGTGCTTCTACAGAAGGTTGTTGAGAATACTATGGCCTTAATGTCTCAGTAACGATGAAGTTTTTAGGGAAAATGGAGTCACAAAGACGCTTATACTTAGAAAGTAACAGTTGAAATTTCTTGGGTACATAACAAGGAAAGAGGGATTGGAGAATTTAGCACTCATAGGGCATAAGAGGAACAGAGAAAAACAGCAAATAACCTACTTAATGAGCTTGTGTAAATATTTGCCACAACAGGGATTCGGGGAGATATAATTAAAAGACAAGCCTTAGAGTCAGAAAGGAAAAGAAGTTATGGCGATCATTGGTCGATAATCGACCACGTCCTGAAAAGACACGGCACATAGAAGAAGAAGAAGAAGAAGAAGAAGAAGAAGAAGAAGAAGAAGAAGAAGAAGAATGTACGTTTGCGTGGACACATGTGAATTTTAATTCAATGACAGACCCAAAGATATTTGTACAAAATTGAAAAAAACAATTTTAAAATGTGATTTTATTTGTTACCGAATAATTTTTGATGAAAGTTCAATAAAATTTTATACTTATCTTAATTCTTTATTCTTTCAAAAAATAAGCGTTTTTTCGCCGAAAAAAATTAATTAGTCCCTTTTATTCTTTTCACTCTATTTATTCCATTTTTACTTGTATTTACTTTTTCAGGTCATTACTTTAAAAAAAAAACAACTTAAATTCACTTTATCGTCATAAGTAATTGTAGCGAATGTACACCAAAGAGGCCCCGTATCGCGTGTGGACATTTTTGTCAACACCAGTTACATTCGGATTTTCCCCTGTTAGCAGCGGAACAGCTAGGCATATCTAGATACGGACCTCTTTGCAATTGGTCAAGATTCGGGACATTGTAAGATGAGCCATGCTAATAAAAACAAAGGGAAAACCAGCAGTCAGTAAGACATATGGTGTCTTTTGAAGTCGATCACGATATATATATATATATATATATATATATATATATATATATATATATATATATATATATATATCCAGGTAAGATGAGAAAAAATAAAGTACAATTCCAACGTTTGTAACATTTACTATAAAATACAAAGTAGAGCAATATTCTTTATTTTATAGTATTACATCGAACAGGTCAAAATCTCAACACAATTGCAGTCGTGTTTCGATGCGTATCAACGCATCTCATCAGGCGATTGTAAATTAATTTAACAGCGATTTTGATGTTTTTCTATGTAGTATCCTAAAATAAAATATATATATATATATATATATATATATATATATATATATATATATATATATATATGAGGAATGTAAATGAAATAATAATAAAAAAAACGAAAGAATATTAATCTATAACCCAGTGTGTCTGAAGATTTTAATTTTTAATATTTTTTAATATGTTTTTATTGTTCATATATATATATATATATATATATATATATATCAAGTAAGTGGTGCAGTTCAATTTACATTACATAAATCATTCATACAAAAACCAAATATTGAATATCTGTTTTTGTATGAATGATTCATGTAATATATATATATATATATATATATATATATATATATATATATATATATATATATATGATTATACAGAAAGGAGCAGATTTCGAAAATGTAATAAAAACAAATGTTAAGAAATAGAAACATATTCAACACATTACTGGATAGGAAAATGGTTCAAAGTTTATTATTTTAAGCAAACACTTGACATTTTTAAGGTAGACACAAATTATAAAAATTTTAATTCATACAAATTCTATAAAAAAAAAATACAAGAATAAAGCATTTAAAAAAGATTCAAACAAAATTTCCTTTATTTTTATAACTTTGAACTCTTCTTTCCGTCTAAAACAGACGGAAATAATTATTGATAAAATACTAAATCTAACTTTAGGTATGAGAAAAAAACTGATTTTTTTTTATTTCATGTCTATACACATAAATAAGAAAAGACTTTGACAAAAATGAAACTGTTTATAAGTTTTCCTTTTCCCTTTATCATGTCTAACTTTATTATTTCATTGCTCATCTCAGGGTAGGGTTTGTTCAGTTAGTAAGAGCGGGAATGTATTATTCTAACGTCATGTTTCAAACTCAGTCAAAACGTGTATGCTTGTGTGCGGATTAAATGGCGCAAGCCTATGTAAGTGATTCACACACAATACAGACCCGCAGTCTATATATTAAATACGCGCGCATGCAATGTCACACGCATGCCAAGTGTGACGGGCAGAGAACCAGCTCCCCCTTTTCTTTAATAAAGATTATGTTTTTACAGCACCCCCTCACACTTTATTAACGTAGCTTTTTATCACATCATTATTTTATGATTCGGTTTATTGCAACTTATTATCGTTGATTTTAGAAACGCATGTTTTCTACTGGCGCGCTTGGCAGTCTGTAGAATGGATTCAAATTTGCAGGAAGTTTAAACACCCTGAGGAAATTCTTCTTGTAAACACTTTGGCCACTTGTTAAGAATTTGCTAAATGTTCAAATTTCGATTACGAAACCAGATGTAGATTTTATGAAAACGAAACATTCTCTGTAAAGTGAAAAGAAAGAAAGAAAGAAAGAAAGAAAGAAAGAAAGAAAGAAAGAAATTAAAGAAAAAAGAAAGAAAGAAAGAAAGAAGAAAGAAAGTTGGGATATTAAAGAAAAAGAAAGAAAGAAAAGAAAAAAAAAGAAAGAAAGCGTGCGTTGGGATATTAAAGAAAGAAAGAAAGAAAGAAAGAAAGAAAGAAAGAAAGAAAGAAAGCGTGCGTTGGGATATTAAAGAAAGAAAGAAAGAAAGAAAGAAAGAAAGAAAGAAACGGGGAATCATAAGAAAGAATGAAAGAAAATGCGTTGGGATCAAGAAAAAAAGAAATGAAAAAAGAAGGAAGAAAAAGAAAAGAAAGAAACAAACAAACAAAGAAATAAAGAAATGGAGAATCTTAAGAAAGAAAGAAAACAAAATAAAATGGAAAATCTGAAAGAAAGAAAGAAAGAAAGAAAGAAAATGAAAAAAAAATAAGAAAATAAAATGGAAAAAAATATTGAAAGCAATATTAAAGAAAGAAAAAAGAAATGAAAAAGGAAGGAAGGAAGAAAGTGCGTTGGGAATGAAAAATGGAGAAATTTAAAAAAATAAAGAAACAAACAAACAAAGAAAGAAAGAAAGAAATGGAGAATCTTAAGAAAGAAAGAAAGAAAGAAAAGAAAAGAAAAATCAAAAGAAAAATGGAAAATCTGAAAGAAAGCAATCAAAAAAAAGAAATGAAAAAAAGAAAGAAAGAAAAGAAATTTCCAAAAAAGAAACAAACAAACAAAGAAATAAAAAATGGAGAATCTTGGGATGGGAAAACAAAATAAAATGGAAAATTGAAAGAAAAAAGAAAGAAAGAAAAAGTGTGAGATGGGATATTAAAGAAAGAAAGAAAGAAAGAAAGCGTGCGTTGGGATATTAAAGAAAGAAAGAAAGAAAGAAAGAAAGAAAGAAAGAAAAATAAGCAAATGAAATGGAAAATATTGAAGAAAGAAAGAGAGAGAGAGGGAAAGAATCTTACGAAAGAATTAAATAAATGGAGTGTCTTAAGAAAGAAAGAAAGAAAGAAAGAAAGAAAGAAAGGACACTGTCTCTCCATCCATCTGCGAACATCTTTATCTTTGGTGATTTTAATGCTCACCATGACATGTGGCTGAAGCATTCTAAAGTTACTGATGTTGCCGGTATTCAGACATTATTTTTTTTCCATTGCCCAATCCCTTACTCAAATTGTAGACCTTCCTAATCGTTTCCCTAGAAAACCTAAACAATAGGCTAATCTGCTTGATTTATTTTTTTACTTACTTTCTACCGTCCTCTTGGTAACTCTGATCAGTCTGTATTATTTATTGATATTTCGTTACAATCATCTATTAAATTAGAACTACCGATTCGTAAGATCTCTTTCTTTACCAGCTTTTCCGGGATTTTCCTCCTGACGAAACCCCTAACTCCCACCCCGGGTTGATATCTTTAACTTCCCAACGGAAAATTACCCCACTGAGGTTTCTTTTTGTGTCAAAGACGGCATGGGCGCATTCATCCCTTCAAGAAAATACCAGGTTAAACCCCAATCAATTGAGACATGGTTCACACCAGCATACTCGGCTGCTATAGCGCCTAGGAACCACTATTTTCGGCTACATCGGCGTGACAGCTCTCGTCACAACAGGCGCCTATTCATTGCTGCTCGTAATAAATGCAAACGAAACCCTGTTTGTCGAGAGAATGAGGCACCGCATAGCGTCTAACAACTTTGGCTCTCGTGATTACTGGCGGTTCTGTAATAAGGAATTAAATAAGTGTAAAGTCTCTAACACTCTACCCTTCAATCAATTTGAGATGTTATCTTCCTCTGTTGATAAAGCTGAATGCTTTACCCGTAAATTCACCTCAAACTCTTGACTCATCTGGAGTATCCCTTCCCAACTTCCCACTTAGAACTGATTCTCTGTTGAGTGATATGCATCTCACCACTTCCATAGTTTCTGCTATCATCTCTAACTTCGATCCACACAAAGCATGTGGACTCAATGGTATCCTTGTAATTGTCATTGAGAAGTGTGCTCTCGAACTGGCTCCTGTTCTCTCTAAAATACCTCGCTGTCTCCCACTTTTCTGCCTACTAGAAACCATCATCTATTGTTCCAGTTTTCAAGAACTCTGGTGAGCCGTCCGACCCTTCCAACTATCGGCCTATCAGCCTTCTACCGCTTTTGGAGAAAATCTTAGCGGCCTTAATCAATACTGAATTGGTTCATCATCTCTCATCACAGGGCATCTTCTCAGATAAGCAATATGGCTTTCGTTTCTCCAGGTCTACTGCTGATGTATTGACGATATTTACGGAAAATATTTACTATGCTCTAGATAAAAACGATGAAGCCCGGGATATAGCATTGGACATCACGAAAGTCTTTCACATGATCTGACATTCAGGTCTTCTCCACAAGCTGAAAAGTTACGGTGTCTCCAGACACGGTTTTGAACTGATCCAGTCTTTCCTATCAAATAGTGAAATGATAGTTATTCCGAACGGCCACTCATCTAGATCCTTTCTTACTAACATGCGTGACCCACCAGTCTCCATCCTTGGTCCTACGCTGTTTTAAATTTTCATCAGCTCTTATCTTGGCATCTACACTGATGACACAGCCATTTACTCTTGCCGCGATAATAAGGCTGGCCAGACCGACAAGATCAACATGGCAGCTGATGTCCATAACGACCGTCGTTATCTGGGGCAAATGATGGCTTGTTAATTTTAACGCCTCCAAAAGGAAACGTCTCTATTAATCATCTGAAAGACTCCTCGCTCTCTTCCATCAGCATGACTGATGCTAAACCCCAGGATACTGAGTCGTTGCGCCTTCTCCGGATAATGTTCTCGGCTGGCATGAAATGGAAAGACTATATTGAATCCATTGCTTGGTCAGCTGCTAAGAAAGTCAGTTTACTGTGTCGTGCGGGACAATTCTTCGCTCCAGAACGTATCTTACCGATCTATAAATTTAGTATTCGTTCTTGCATAGAATATTTCTGCCACATATGGTCCGGTGCCCATCCTATTTACCTTGAACTCCTTGATAAAATCCAAAAAAGTTCTATGTTAACAGCTTCTTTCCTCGCACTTTTCGCTTTTGAAACTCCTTTCCGACTCCATGCTTTCCAGCCAATTTTAATCTGCAAAAATTTAAATGCAACATCAATCGCTATCTACTGTCCTCTTGATTACTCTTTCCCTTTACGCTCATTATTAATGTTTCTGTTTCTAATTCTTCCATAGACTTGTGTCTTATTGACTTTAATGTCTTGCATGAGGTGAAGCGGATTAAAAAACAAAAAGAAAGAAATAGAGTCTCTTAAGAAAGAAAGAAAGAAAGAAAGAAAGAAAGAAAGAAAGAAAGAAAGAAATAGAGTCTCTTAAGAAAGAAAGAAAGAAAGAAAGAAAGAAAGAAAGAAATGGAGTCTCTTAAGAAAGAAAGAAAGAAAGAAAGAAAGAAAGAAAGAAAGAAAGAAATGGAAAAGAAAGAAAGAAAGAAAGAAAGAAAGATATGGAGTCTCTAAGAAAGAAAGAAAGAAAGAAAGAAAGAAAGAAAGAAAGAAAGAAAGAAAGAAAGAAAGAAAAAAAAAGAAAGAAATAGAGTCTTAAGAAAGAAAGAAAGAAAGAAAGAAAGAAAGAAAGAAAGAAAGAGTCTCTTAAGAAAGAAAGAAAGAAAGAAAGAAAGAAAGGAAAGAAAAAGAAAAGAAAGAAAGAAAGAAAGAAAGAAAGAAAGAAAAGAAAGAAAGAAAGAAAGAAAAAAAATGGAAAGAAAAGAAAAGAAAGAAAGAAAGAAAGAAAGAAGGAGTCTAAGAAAGAAAGAAAGAAAGAAAGAAAAAAGAAAGAAAGAAAGAAAGAAAGAAAGAAAGAAAGAAAGAAAGAAAGAAAGAAAGAAATGGAGTCTCTTAAGAAAGAAAGAAAGAAAGAAAGAAAGAAAGAAAGAAAAAAGAAATGGAGTCTCTTAAGAAAGAAAGAAAGAAAGAAAGAAAGAAAGAAATGGAGTCTCTTAAGAAAGAAAGAAAGAAAGAAAGAAATAGAGTCTCTTAAGAAAGAAAGAAAGAAAGAAAGAAAGAAAGAAATGGAGTCTCTTAAGAAAGAAAGAAAGAAAGAAAGAAAGAAAGAAAGAAAGAAATAGAGTCTCTTAAGAAAGAAAGAAAGAAAGAAAGAAAGAAAGAAACGGTGTCTCTTAAGGAAGAAAGGAAGAATCTTAAGACAGAATCTTAAGAAAGAAGGGCATAGAAAATGTTAAGAAAGACAGATTAGCAAGATATTAAGAGATAAGATCTGTTGGACAAACTGGTTTCTTATATTACGTTGTCTCTCTCTATGGTTTATAGTTAATCGATTGTTGAACAACCAATAGTAAAATAGAAAAATTTACTTGTTCTCCTGGCTGCTTCTCCTCTATGGTATTTGACAGTCAATATAATTACTATAATTAAAAATAATGGAATAATTGGCCCGAAAGTAATGTGACTGCTTGGTTGGAGGCTTTTTTATCTCTTTTACTATAAAGTTCTATTAATCTTCCTAGTTCTCAAGTATTTTCCTTCTCGTGTGGATTAGGTAAATAGTTATGCTAATCCTTTAATTCTTTATGGAATTATTCTCCTCCGACATATTTCAAAATGTCTGTTACTATGCCATCTTCCTCTGATGCTTTAGTGCGTTCTATATTTTGCATCACAAACCTTATTGTTAACCTATTGTTACTTCAGGATTGATTGTTGGAACTATTTTTATTTTTGAAGCAGACAGATTTACGCAGTCATCATTGCTTACTGCTAACATCTTGTTCCTTTTTTGTTAAATCATTTCACCCCAAACAAGTGATAATGCCACTAGGACAAGAAGGAGACTTTAGTAGAGAAAAGTGGGCAGGGACAATAAAGGAATGTGATTCAGGAAGATAGAATATTATGATTGGCGTTGCCTTTAAATTTTTGAAGATTGTAATTGGCAGGGAAGCAAGAAATCAGAAGGAAGTTCTACAGTTGAGAAGTGCAAGAAAAAGAAACTATTCGAATAGAACAGACGGTTGAATCTATCTAGTTCAGCATTAAACGTGTGAGATCTGGTTTCCAATCTAGTAGCACGTTTAAATTCATACAGTCAAAACACCAAGGAGGAAATTTATTTTGAATAATACAAAAATGTTGCACAAGGACAATGGAGGGACAGGGAAAGACTGGCCTTCAATCTGTCTTATCTTAAAAAGTAGCTAGTCACTATTACTGACTCAAACTTGCCATAGTATTCCTTACACCAAAACAACACATTCTTATCATTTTTCCGACAGCCACCATAATACCTCAAGTCTCTATGTAGTGCTAACTATTTCCCATATGTACAATTTGCCTGAGGGAGGGATAAAAATAACAATATTTAAAAATTAAACACCAGTGAATATTTACAAGGAATACAATTTATATACAAGAAACTAAAGAAAAAAGGAGGAAAGTTCATCAGAACAATTACAATGTCAATATTTGTAGAAAAGACAGTGGGAATCCACGTCATGTCGGTGTGAAAGTGACTGGAGTCGAGATGCCAGGTCAGAAAAGATTACATCTCAGACCCTTTGCATTTGGTCAAGATCCTCGAGATAAATAGCAGGAACATCAGAAAGGACATGGCAACAATATTCAATGCATGGATGAATGGAAGATTTATAAATGTGCAAGATGGATTCTGGTGAGAAAAATGGTCTGGAACGACGCAGTGCACCAACATTCTTACATTGGTTAACCTACACTTTTTTTTTTTTTGACTTTCAATATTGGTAAGCATTGTTTAAGTATAGGACTGTGGAGCGGATCTGTTAAAAGCTTTTTTTTCGTTTGTTACGTCTGGGTGTGATAATGGTGATGTTAAAATTATCCGCTTTTTACCTTGTCTAATGTTTCGTCTACTTTCGATCTGTCGCTGTTTTAGCGCTAGTAATCTCTTTTGATAAAATCTCATGTAGGGCTCTCATCCTGTTTACTACGCCAAATTAAAATATATTACGCAGCGGGTATCGTGAAAAATGCGTAAATGGGAAGAATAGCAATGTATCA